CCTTGGTGACATCTTAAATGACTGTAGCATTACATCAAAATGAGGAAATTAACATTGATATACCATTAACTAGACCACAGACCTCACTCAGTTTCACCTGTTTTTCCATACACTCTCCTTTTCCTCAACAGAACAAAATGTGAAGAAGCACTTGTTTTAGTGGCAAGGAATCTGAGGTGATTCCTTTTGTTTCTGGCTAACCAAAGGCAGGTGTTGGGCCAGTCTGAGCTGTGTAGCTCTCTAATGAGAGATCTCTCGTACCCAATACAAAGAAATGAGAAATGTTTGAGGTGATGGAAATGCTAATTACCCTGATTTGATCATTACACATTGAATGCATGCATCAAAACATGATGTGTACCCCATAAATATGTATAATTATGTGCCAATACAATTTTTTAAATTAGTAATAAATCCAAACAAAAATTTTTTAAAAAGAAAGATCTGTCTTAATTGAAACCTAACTCCCCTAAGGTCTTTGGTTTGGAGTCTTCTTGAGGAGAGTCTGCAAATCATCCTACAGCCAGCCAGCCAGTCTCAGAGCTATACCCCCTGTAGCCGCTTCCTGACCACACACTTCTACCTCCTTGGTGGAGCCACCCACCCGCTTACTCTCCACACTTGTTTCCTGACCCCTGATCTGTCCTTCACACTCCCCTGTCAGGTCTCTCAGGCTGGAGCGCGACAGTGGCTTCAGGTTTGTAGGTGGAACTCTTGGGGCCTGCTGATGCTAATAGTCTTTGGTCTTTGCTTAGAGTTCTAAACGCCACTTCGGTGGAAAGTTATGATGCCTCCAAGGTGATTTCTTTCCCATCATATGGAGCCCTGGCTTAAGGTCAATGCAGGGATTTCTAAATCTGTTCAGGTAGAGACTCCTCATGTTAGGAAAAATGTTAAACAGAACTTCAGTCCATCCAGCAGAACGGATGGAACTGAGCCAGTTGAAGCAGGGGCAGGGAACCTGGAAGCCAGCCAGCCCTGCCATGTGGAAGCTGGGAGTTCATTCCAGGAACCCAGGGGAACTGCTGGTCTATCTGCACAACTCTAGATCAGGTGTCATAATGCTCAGAAGTTGTAATGAACATGCCCTTTTGCCCTTTTCTTTCTCTTTGAACTTGGCTTGCTGAGTAGGAAATTGAAGGATGTCCCATTACTGCCCTCCTTGGATTATGAGAAACTGAAGAAGGATTTGGTTTGGGGGAGTGATCGCTTGAAAGCCTTCTTGTTGCAGGCTTTGCGCTGGGTAGGTACCTTCTCCTTGAAGTTAAACAACAAAACAAAAAAATTACCAATGCTGGTTTTCTTGGCTGGCTACCTTGCTTGTATCTTTTAACCCATCTAAAAATCTTTCTTCCTGCTGCCTGCTGACACCAAGAATGAAAGTTTAAAACAGCTTCTGAAGATAGCCTTGGGCTCCTTTAAAAAAAAACAACAACCCTATATTGGTCTGGGACAGTGGCTCACACCTGTAATCCCAGCACTTTGGGAGGCCAAGGCAGGAGGATCACTTGAGGACAGGAGTTTAAGACCAGCCTGGGCAACAGCAAGACCCCATCTCTACAAAATATAAAAACATTAGCCAGGCATGGTGGCATACACCTGTAGTCCCAGCTCCTCCAGAGGTTGAGATGGGAGGATTACTTGAGCCCAGGAGTTCAAGGTTATAGTGAGCTATGATCATGCCACTGAACTCCAGCCTGGGTGACAGAGTGAGACCCTGTCTTTTACAAAAAAAAAAAAAAAAAACCTAACAATTGTATATTGATATCATAGTTTCCATTGCCATTGTGTGATATGATACATGCAGGTCCAAGGCCCTGGAGACTGCCCCTGCCACATGGCCCTTTCCTGGTCATGAGCCCCACTCCCTGCTTGTGGACATCCTCGTGTGAGAGTGTGGAGTTGCGCTTGCTCCATAGCCCCACAGAAACCTCTGATCAGGCACTGCCATGCAGCCACCCTGGGCAGGCTCAAGGGTTCGGGTTCAAGGCTAAGAACTCAGGTTAACAAGGCCCTAGGGGAAGCAAGCCGAGTCTGTATTGTTGCCTTTCTCCCCAGTGTTCAGATGGATCACAGTGGAAGCAGCAGTTGCTTCTCAAGCTTTTTGCTCTCAGAGCCCTTTCCACTCCCCAGAATTACTGAGGACCTCAAAGAGCTTTTGTTTACATGAAGTTTATCTACCAAATTTACAGTATTAGAAATTAAAACTGGGAAAATTCTTAAAATGTATTTATTGATTCCCTTAAAATGAATAATAAACGAATGACATGTTAAATAACATATTTTTATGAAAAATAACTATTTTCCAAATAATAAAAAAATCAGTGAGGATAGTATCATTTTACATTTTTGCAAATTTCTTTAATGTCTGGCTTGATGGAGAAGAGCTGGATCTTCCTGTCTGCTTTTGCATTTGATTTGTCATAGTGTCCCAATTCATACAGCCTCTGAGAGATTGAGCATGAAAAAAGCAAGTCATATCTTAGTATTATTATGAAAATAATCGTGACCTTGTAGACCCCTTGAAAGGGTTTTGGGGACCCCCTACGGTTCCCCAGACTGTACTTTGAGAACTGCTGGCTTAAGCCAACACTGGTTGGCTGTTTAACTGAATGATCCATTCTAACTCACCGTGCATTAGCGTCAAACCCCTTCATGGATCATCAAATTTCAAGGTATCTTGGCATCAAAATCCTGTATGCAATTTCCCTGTCTCTGGATAGAAACCATTCTCACTTACACTTCTGATGTTTGCTGGTGCTTCCTGAAACACGTCTCGAGGCGTGCTCCGAGACTCCAGGATCAGCAGGAGGAGTCTTGCAGTCAAGCAGTGATGTCTGTTCTCATTTTGTTTGGGTCATTTGTCCAGAGTGGGTGGGGCAGCGTGTGGCCGTCGCCACCCTGGCCATTTTCCTCTCTGCTCAAGTTCTCACGCTCATCTTTTCTTTGGCTCTTAGTTTGCTCACTCAGCACGTCCTCTCGGTGCGTGCCGCTCCGGCGCCCCTTGAGGAGACAGGGCATTGCTTTGCTGAGGGAATGACATTTCTGCAGAATGTTCACAGGAAAAATGAACAGGTTTCTTACGATTTTTTTGTGTCCCTCTCCAGTCCCCCATCTAGCCTCTTGCCCTTGCCTCAACCTCAGTGAACTTGACAGAAGGTCGGCAACGTCCCACATGACATTCTGGGCACACCCGTCCTTCAGGACAGTCCCCCTTTGCCTTTGAAGCCTTGCCCGGCCACGATGGTCAGCGTCTGTCAGCAACACTCGCCTCTGGTGCCTCCCCAGCCCTCCCCGCTCTTGGGTGTCTGTCACTCTTGCTGTCCTCTCGCCCACGCCAACAACTAGCATGTTCTTTGGCCAAAAGCAGGGCCTGCAGCCTCAGGATTTTTACTTTGTAAGATTTTCCCAGAGAAGCAAGGACATTTGCTCACTACAGTTACACGGCTTTCTCATCTCCCAACTCACACCGCTGCACACCTGTGTGCACGTGCACACGCACGTGAGTTTTCCTCTGGCCTGTGGATATTGCGTAAATTCTTACGCAACATAACAGACTTAAGGCTTTTCAGAATTCCAGCCAGCTACCCCCTACACACACACACACACACACACACACACACACACACACACACGTGTGCTGCATGGCAGGCATTCAGCACGCCCTACAGCCTGCTCTGGGCACTGCCCATTGAGCCCGCTCAAGTGCACCCTGTATTTCTGTACCTCCCTGACCTGGATCACACTTCCCTGTCCCCCACCACAATCACGTTACCCCGTGCTGGTTAATAGTCTGCCCATGTTCAGGGGCCGACTCTTGAGCCCCCTTCTACAAGAAAAGCCCCTCTGGGCATTGGTGAGCTCTTCTCTATCTGCACACTTAGAATCAGGAATCTTGCCGCTTCCTTCTCTGAAGATTTCACATGAAAAATTCACTCCAGCATCCTCTATATCACCCATTAGGAAGTCCAACTTCGTAAGTTCATGTTAATTGACTGGCTGGTTGGTTAACTAGCCCCCAGCTGGATGTTATTTATATTGGGTGCTTATATGTATATTTACTGGTACTGCCTTTTAAAACACACCTGCTATATGAAAACTTTTCCCCTGGTCCTAAGGAACTTAGGTCTTGTTGCTTTTGTTTTTCTTCACTCCAGCGCTTGACCACATCCCATCCTGGAGAGCAGAGGGAGACCGTTTTGCAAGCCTACATCAGCAATGACCTCTTGGACTGTCACAGCCACAACCAGGTGGGTAGGAGGTGGCCCAGAGCCCGGCCAGGGCCTTCAGTGCGAGGGAAGGACCTTGGCAGATGGGGAAGCTTTCGTGTCTGTGCGTGTTTTAGCACAGTGACCACGTGGCAGCCTCCAGCGGGCTCGCTAGCGAGACCTGTTGTTCACCCTGGATAACAGGCTCACTAGCTAACTTCTAGTAAAGACGACTACAAATGTTAGAACTGCTGGATTTATCTCTGGAGCTCTTTTCTGCCATTTTTCATTTTCTCAAATTCCCAACTCTTTCCTGCACCTCACTTTGTTCCATGAGTTCTGCCAACTGAGTAGGGCTTGGGATGGACAAAGTATATAAGCAAATTCAGGGTTTTTTCATCTGGGCCTGACTAAAAATGTGTCTTTAACACAATATTTAGATATAGCTTTGGACCAGATAGATCTACTGATGCTGTGGGAAAGCATGAGATTTGGGGTGAGGTAAATTGCTCCCCAGCCTGTGCTCGGCCACTCATTAGCCAGGTCATCTGAAGCAGGTGACTCAGTCTCAGGAGCTTCCCCATCGAGGAGCAGCCTCAGGCTGTTGTTGAGGTGATGACGTGCAGTCACATGAGGGACTTGCTTAGCCGGGGCCTGGCACCGAGGAGTCACTGTGTGGTGGTCCTCCTCCTCCTCCCTGCCCCTGCTGCGTGTGTCTGCACCAGGCACCACTGGACAGTAGGAGGGTCAGGATCTTGAACTTGGCACATATAAAGAAGATACTACATTTTATTTCATATGATTTCAGTTGAGTTTTTATCAGAATGCTCTAAAATGTAAAGCTATTATTAAGCTTCACAATGTGTGTGCTGGAGTAGCAAACGCTCTTAGCTCTCACTGATTAAACAGCTGTCTTTGGCCATTTCCTGTGGCTGTAACAGAACACCACAGACGGGGTCATTTATAAGCAATAGAAGTTTACTTGGTACACAGTTCTGGAGGCTGGGAAGTCCAAGAGGGTGGCGCCAGCATCTGGCAAGGGTCATCCCATGGCAGAAGGCAGAAGCGGGCATGCTAGGCAGACAGAGAATGGGGGTGGAACCTATCCTTTTATCAGGAGCTACTCCTGAGATAACTAAGCCAGTCCCGAGATAACGGCATTAATCCCTTCAGGAGGGCAGAGCCCTCTTGACAAAAGCACCTCTTAAATGTCCTAATATTGTTACATTGGCAATTAAATCTCAGCACGAGTTTTGGTGGGTACATCCAAACCCTGGCAGCAGCACCCTGGGAAAGCGAGTTGCATGCTGATCTGTTGTGGGTACAGACAATACAATTCAGGAGGTTCGGGTTGTCGGTTTACCCACATGTTCACTTTGTGAAAACTCATCAAGCTGTGTACTCATCATCTATGCAATTTTCTGTGTAGATATTATACCAGGAGTCCTCAAACTTTTTAAACAGGGGGCCAGTTCACTGCCCCTCATACCATTGGAGGGCCGGACTATAGTTTAAAAAAACTATGAACAAATTCCTATGCACACTGCACATATCTTATTTTGAAGTGAAAAAACAAACGGGCAAAAACACCCGCATGTGGCCCGCGGGCCATAGTTTGAGGATGCCTATTTATACTTCAATGAAAATCTGACCTAAATAAAGATGGTGTACTGGCAGTAGGCATCTTGGGGACAACAACCTTCAACATGTCACCCCCCGAGTCAGCTCAGTTCAGTCTGGACTTGTGGCCTCCTGCGTCAGGAGTCGCCTCACCAAACTTCTGTTTGATTCCTTTCACCTCTCCCCTGAACTGCTGCTCTGCTTCCAGTATCCATGCCGTCTTCTTTCCTGACTTACTCTGTCAGTTCATGGAGCACTTCCCTCGGGTAACAGCTTCTAGACAAAGCATGCACGGGAAGTATATTTTTTGAGACCGTGTATGGTCTCAAAATGTCTTTATTCTTTGCATAGAATTCTGGGTTGTAAATAATTTTCCTTAAGAATGTTGAAGACGTTGCTCCATTGTCTTTTAGGTTCCAGGTTTGCTGTTGAGAAATTCAAACTCATTCTAATTTGTGGTCTTTTGTATGTAACCTGTTTTCCTCTCTCTCTAGAAGCATGGTGAATCTTCTTTTTATCACCAGTGTTGGTAAACTGTCCATTGATGTCCTTCATGAGGTGTGTTTTGATCCTTTCGGTCTGACAGCTTCAGTTCTGAGAACTTTTCTTAAGTTGTTTTGTTGATGGTTTTTTCCTTTCTGTTTCCTCTGTTCTGTCTTTCTGAATGTTTCTGTCTTTCTGAATGTCTCCTCAACTGGTTCTCTATTTTTCTTATCTTTTCTCTCCTATCTTATATCTTTTTCCTTTTGTTCCTCTTTCGGAAAGATTTCCTCATCTTTATTTTTTCTGTCCTTCTATTGAGCTTTTAATTTCTTTTTTTTTTTTTTGTAGCATTCTCTTGTTATGTGGCTGCAATACAGCTTCTTGTATCTTTGAGGATATTAGTGATGAATGTTTGTTTATTTTTAGTTTCCTTCTCATTTCCTCCCCTTTGTTCTGGCCCTGTCTTCCATGTTGGAGCCCCCTCCCAGGTCTGGTGGTCCTTGTTATCTCTTAAGGAGAGAGCGAGAGCTGGTGAACCAAAAAGCTGATTGGAAGCCCTGAGAGCTCCCCTGAGGAGGATCCGGGTGAGCCATTTATTGGAACCTCTGGTTTCAGAGTGTCTAGTTCTTTCCTCCTGGGCTGGTCATTTTCCTCTGAGAAGAGTCTTTTAATCTCCTGCCCAGAGGGTGAGAGTCTGACTGCCAGTGTTCTGGGAGCCAACTGGGGGCAGAGGAGAAGGGCCGGTTCTCTGCTGAGCATTCATCCTGCATTTAGACACTGATCATTTCGTCTAGAACCCCCGCTCACCTGTGCCAGCGTCCCCTACTCCACAGACCCTTTGTGTCACCTTCACAAGAGAGCCCCTCCCCCAGCCCTGTGCTGGAGGTGTGCAGGAGCAGCATGAGTGGGATCAGGCTGCTGCTTGAACAGCTTTCAGTCGTTCTTGTTTCTTGTTTCTTGTTTCTTTTTAAGCCTTTTGAGGAGTACATGATGGAAATTGGGTAATTTCGCAATGCCCATTATTGGGCCTGCTAAGCCTGTTGTTACCGTCCTGCGTTCCTGCTTCCAAAATTGTGTTGTCATAATTTCTTATGCTGTTCTCTGTGTCCTAAGAAATTTATGTCTCTTTTAAAAGTCCATTTACTGCCATCTTACTGTGGTTTAGAGGGAGCAAAATTTAGATGTGTCTATTGAATCTACCATGCTAACCTGGGAAAACAGCAGCAACGACAGCAACGAACAGTACTGCTTCCTCGGGGCCGCTCACAGATCTGAGTGCTTTGTATAGTGAATTCATTTAATTTAGAAATCCGACTAACTTCTTTTTTCCAGATCTCGTCAAATATCTGTTGGAAATCAAGGCTTGCAGATGAAATGTTTGGCTTTAGTCTGTTTGTTTCACTCTGATAAAGTCAGGCCTGGGCAAAGGAGACATATGTGTATCTCTCCCTTTTCTTCATCTGTCTTGATTTTTTTCCCCACAGAGGAGTGTGCTTCAGCTGCTGCACTCAAAGAGTGAGGTGGTGCGGCAGTACATGGCCAGGCTCGTCAACGCTTTCGCGTCGCTAGCAGAAGGTGAGATGGCAGCTTGCCCTAAAGAGAAGAGCTGGGTCTTACTGATGTGTTTTCCCTTTGAAAGTGAGCTTTGCTCCCAAGTTTCTTAGAGATAATATATGTTTCCTCAATTTATTATTGTTTAATTCCTCTAAGGTCTTTTGTGAAAATTAGTTGTTGTCATATTGCTTTAATTTATGTCAGAGAACATTTTGGTGGTTTTGGAGTTTATTTTTTAGTCTTTCTGGTTTTTTTATTCTATAAGCTTTCTGGTTTTCTAATATAGAACTTCTTTTTTTTTTTTTTTTTTTTGAGACAGAGTCTCACTCTGTTGCCAGGCTAGATGAGTGCCGTGGGTCAGCCTGGCTCACAGCAACCTCAAACTCCTGGGCTCAAGCAATCCTACTGCCTCAGCCTCCCAAGTAGCTGGGACTACAGGCATGCGCCACCATGCCCGGCTAATTTTTTGTATATTTATATTTTTAGTTGGTCAATTAATTTCTTTCTATTTTTGGTAGAGACGGGGTCTCGCTCAGGCTGGTTTCGAACTCCTGACCTTGAGCAATCCACCCGTCTCGGCCTCCCAAAGTGCTAGGATTACAGGTGTGAGCCACCGCGCCCGGCCTATAGAACTTCTTATTTTGCTTTCAAGTATATAACAGGCAATGAATGTATTTTTCTACAGTTTTCTACTTAAGGCAAAAAAAGATTGGTAAAACAATTAAAATTGATTCCAGTAAGCGCTGCACCATTTCCTCCAAAAGACTATAAATTCTTAAATCAAAGGATTTGAAAATTCCAAAGATAATATGCCACCATAACTGAATTCAAAATGAGGCTAGGCGCGGTGGCTCACGCATGTAATCCTAGCACTCTGGGAGGCTGAGGCGGGAGACTCACTTGAGCTCAGGAGTTCGAGATCAGCCTGAGCAAGAGCAAGACCCCTGTCTCTACTGAAAATAGAAAAATAAGCCAGGCATTGTGGCGCGCACCTGTAGTCCCAGCGAGCTACTCAGGAGGCTGAGGCAGGAGGATCACTTAAGCCCAGATTTGAGGTGCGAGTGATTCATAGATAGACTGCCATCGTACTCCTACCTGGGACAACAGAATGAGACTGTCTCAAAAAAAAAAAAGTGATTTTGCGACATGCCATTTTGATAAGTTCTTACTTGTTTTAGCTCTTTTTAATGTGAATAAGGGGAGTTTTCAAGTTATGAATATATGATACTCCATAACTTTGTTCATTCATTTGTTCATTTTTCCATCTGTTTGGCAAACATTTATTTTAAGCCAGGGTACATGCTGAGGGCCATTCATATGGTAATACTGTTGAAACTTGTGTCCATAATTAACGTCTTCTGATCAGTTCAGAAATCCATAGCAGGCTGGTGACCATCCTGGGCTTATCATAGAGTTTCAGGTATGGCTCCCACCTTCTCCTACAGGTTCTGGGCATATCTAGAAAGAGCAGGGCGTGTGGCCCGCAGCACTCGTTGGCTGCCTCTTTTGTAAAGGCCATAGGCTCATAACACAGGTCCACCCCCTTTTTTCTTCTTGTAGATCTGACCATCGATTCTGGGCAAATAAAAAGACACTGCTGCCCACAAGAACATGGTGGTGAATTATGTTTGGCTTATAAGAAGTGTGATTTTTCTATTCATTAGATAGTTGATTGAATAAAACCAATTTTTACAAGAAATACATTTTAATAAATTTTAGTAAGAACATAAAATTACCCAAACTCTACTGTATTATATAGAAACAAAGTTTTCATAAAAAGCAGGTTTGGAACATACCAGATAAATTCCACCCACCTTTCACCTGTTTCATGTCTGGCGTATTGTTAGGTCGCCTCTACCTTGCGCAGAGCACGAAGGTGCTGCGGATGCTGGAGGGAAGGCTGAAGGAGGAGGACAAGGACGCCATCACCCGCGAGAATGTCCTTGGGGCCTTGCAGAAGTTCAGCCTCAGGTGATGACTGTGCACAAGGACATGTGGCTCCTGTGACATCAGATTGGGGTTGTTTTAGCCACTATTTAGTGCTTATTTTATTCCTTTGACAACCCAGGAGGCAGAGGATATTTATCTGACACTTAGGAGAAGTTGGGCGGCTTTCCAAGGCAGAGCTGGAAGGCCTGTCCCTATTCCACCGAATGGTCCTGCTCAAGGCTGTGGGGATGGAGGAAAACATTTTAAAAGCACAATTATATTCTCCTAATGGACTGCATCTGGTGCCAGCCAGGTGCTAGACTGTGTGTGTCTCAGACCACATGCCAGGCTTAGGGACAGACACAGGAATGAGACCTGATAGAGCCTCGGCCTTCAGGTTGCTGCCAGCCCCTGTGGGAGCCACGCACAGAGAGGGACATCTCAGCGTGAGGGGCAGTCCTGCGGGATCAGGGTGAGGGCCTCCTGGTTCCGTGTCAACACATCCCAGCAGCCCACCCCGTGACTCGGCCTGGGCTCTGTCATGACTTGGAACCAATCCATGTCAGAAATTTCCCGGTTAGTCACGTCTTCTTGAACCAGACCTGGTGTGTTCCTGGAGCTTTTTTTAAATTAACAGCTTTATTGAGGCATGCTTTACATACCATAAAAGTCACCCATTTTAAGCCTACAATTCAGTGAATTTTAGTATGTTTAGTATATTTTTAGTATGTTTACAGAGTTGTTCAACCATCGCCACAATCTAGTTTTAGAACATTTCCATCACCACAAAAAGAAACCTCATACCCATTTGTAGTCACTCCTCCTCATTCCTGCCCCAGCTGCAGGTAACTGCTAACCTACTTTGAATATTTACTTGTGCTGGACATTAGCATATAAATGGAATCATATCATGCGCGTTCCTTTGTGACTAGCTTCTTTCACTTAGCATGGTGAAGGTTTTCAAGGTCTAGCCATGTGGCGCACGTCAGCACTGCGTTCCTTTCCACTGCTGGACAGCACTCTGTTATATGGATGCACTTCGTTTGTCTGTCCGCTCATCCGCTGATGGGGGTTTGTGCTGTTTTCACTTTTGGCTGACACACATAACGCTGCTGTGAGCACTTAAACACTGAAGTCTTTATGCGGACGTGTGTATTCCTGTCTCCTGGACAGGTGTCTAGGAGTGGACTTGCTGAGTCATATGGTAATTCTTCCAGAGTCCTTCTTTCCTCACAACCACCTCACATTCTCTTTCATGTCATTAAAAATTCTATAGCCGGGCAGTGGCTCATGCCTGTAATCCTAGCACTTTGGGAGGTCTAGGTGGTAGAAACACTGGAGGTCAGGAGTTTGAGACCAGCCTGAGCAAGAGTAAGACTCCATCTCTACAAAAAGTAGAAAAATTAACCAGGCATGGTGCTGCACGCCTGTAGTCCCAGTTACTCAGGAGCCTGAGGCAGAAGGATCCCTTGAGCCCCAGGAGTTTGAGATTACAGTGAGCTGTGATGATACCACGGCACTCTAGCCTAGATAACAGAGCGAGACCCTGTCGCAAAAAAAAAAAAAAATTTTTTTAAAGGTTCTAATCCCTTAATCCCTGGAGTCCTCAGCTTTTTCTGTCAGTCCCCTTATGAACACACTCTCTTTACATCCAATGTGTTTTAACATTTGACTAACTCTCACTAGTAACCAGAAGCCTGCAAGGTGAAATAGTGTAAGTACTATTTCACTGAAGTCTAAGTGAAATAGTCTAAGTGAAAATCTCTTGTTCTGACTGTATGGATGGAGAAGAACTGTAGGTGATACCCAGAGCTGTGACTTCCTCAGCTCTCACCAACACTTCATGTCTGTGTGTAGAGCTAACTTAGCTTGATGTTGACCATATCTGGGAAATTTTTAGCAATTTAAAAACTATAGTTGAGTAACAGATACAAGATATGATAAAGAAATACCTCTTCCTGGTAATGCAAATGTTTAACTGCCTATTTAGTCTTTTCTTCCAAACAGTAATTTAAGCTTTTCTGTTCTGTAAATGTGCTTAATGCTTTTGCAGTTTCCCAGTGGCTCTGCAATGAGTATAGAAAGTGTCATGCTTCCCAAGAGAGCACAGTCTCACTGTATTCATGTTCTAAGTCTCACTGATTGGTTGGGATAGTGTTTAAGAACAGCATGAAGGTTGGCTGTGCGGTGGCTCACGCCTGTAATCCTAGCACTCTGGGAGGCCGAAGTGGGCGGATTGCTTAAGGTCAGGAGTTCAAAACCAGCCTGAGCAAGAGTGAGACCCCGTCTCTACTAAAAATAGAAAGAAATTAATCAGCCAACTATCCCAGCTACTCGGGAGGCTGAGGCAGGAGGATTGCTTGAGCCTAGGAGTTTGAGGTTGCTGTGAGCTAGGCTGATGCCACGGCACTCACTCTAGACTGGGCAACAAAGTGAGACTCTGTCTCAAAAAAAAAAAAAAAAAAAAAAAGAACAGCATGAAGGGACACTGGCTTTGTTCTTCTGTCCCGGGTGGTTGTTTTTCCATAACCTGTTAATCAGGAGATGTGTAGTGCTGGCTTCTCCATGGTGTTTTGATTTTCAAATAATTCAGATGGTTTCTCCTGTCACGTTTTGTCTCATCAGTTCTTAAAGCTGACATGATGACATTCACCATTACACGTTTTGATGGGGCATTGGATTTTGTAAGATTTTATACCTGGACTTTGGGTGGAAAATCATTCTTTATAATT